CGTTTATTTATTTTTGGGACAGAGAGAGCCAGAGCATGAACGGGGGAGGGGCAGAGAGAGAGGGAGACACAGAATTGGAAACAGGCTCCAGGCTCTGAGCCATCAGCCCAGAGCCCGACGCGGGGCTCGAACTCACGGACCGCGAGATCGTGACCTGGCTGAAGTCGGACGCTTAACCGACTGCGCCACCCAGGCGCCCCTCCCTGTGGGCTTTCAAGGTAAAGGAAATAATTCCTCTCATGCTGTGGCCCATGGATTCCGAAGCTCTTCTTCCTGTGCTTCACAAAACCAGCCCCAGAGCCAGGAGTCCCACCTGTGAGCGCCTACATGATTGACAAGAAGAGGGCACGGCATATAGTTGTCCTCTCAGGGAGGTGACTTACCCGGTCAGTTTTCCCTTCAGTCTGAATGCTGGTGTGACTGCGCACCTCATGTTCCTCTTCCAAGTCAGAAACATCCTCCAGTTCCTCTGGGGTCTATAAAAAGAAAGCAAAGCATTGCTGGTGAGAATGCAAAATGGAAAACAGAGTGACCATACCTCAAAAAGTAAGCACAGAGGTACCAATATGACCCTGCAATTCTACTCCTAGAAAAGAAATGAAAATAAATACATGTCCACACAAAAACTTGTTAAAAAAAAAAAACTGTTCATAACAGCACCAATCATAGTAGCCAAAAAGTGGAAATAACTCAAATACAAATCTAGTGAGGGATAGATAAACACAATTCTATTCAATAAAATATGATTTAGCTATAAAAAGGAATGGGATACTGAGACAGACTGCAACATAGGTGAATCTTGAAGATATTATGGTAAGTGAAAGGAGTCAGTCATAAAAGACCACATGTTTGCAAGCAAACTGGTGCAGCCATCCTGGAAAACAGTGTGGAGATTCTTCAAAAAATTAAAAATAGATCTACCCTATGACCCAGCAGTAGCACTGCTAGGAATTTACCCAAGAGATACAGGAGTACTGATGCATAGGGGCACTTGTACCCCAATATTTATAGCAGCACTCTCAACAATAGCCCAATTATGGAAAGAGCCTAAATGTCCATCAACTGATGAATGGATAAAGAAATTGTGGTTTATATACACAATGGAATACTATGTGGTAATGAGAAAGAATGAAATATGGCCTTTTGTAGAAATGCGGATGGAACTGGAGAGTGTTATGCTAAGTGAAATAAATCATACAGAGAAAGACAGATACCATATGTTTTCACTCTTATGTGGATCCTGAGAAACTTAACAGAAGACCATGGGGGAGGGGAAGGAAAAAAAAAAGTTAGAGAGGGAGGGAGCCACAC